TCTCTATTTTTGTGGCTTTGGTATACTACTTATTACACAATTTTTTTTAATTATTAATTTATTACTACAAAAATCTCGGTTTCGCCTCGCGGTGTCATCAGTCGAAGAAAGGGTAAATTACAATAGTTGCCAATTGGCTTGTTGTATGAACATTTTCTTTATGAGCTCTCTATGAGCTAGAAAATTAAGCAGTCAACTAATTTAAGTTCAAGCAAAAAAGGTTACAGCGTTGTCAACTCTGAAGACTATGATGGAATACTGACCCTCTAAGCCCTTGAGACAAGAATAAAGCCTTTTTTAGCCTTTATGGGGGAAGCCTATATACAGCAGTAAACGTTTTAAAGGCTTCAGATATCAGGCATGAATGAAAAAGAATTAATGATTACTCTGAATAGATTTAAAAAACGGTAGAGAACGCTATTATGGCAATAAGTACGCTTTTGTATATAAAAATCTGCATCATAGATTTTTTTATATATCTATCTGATACGTCCAGATAGAGTTCCAAAACTGGTCAGTCTCCTTCTTCATCATCATTAGTCCAACTGCAAAAAAAAAACAACAAAAAAGTCCACTGCTGGACATATGTGTCGTCCGTTGTAGGAAGGAGTACCTAAAACCGTGTGTCTATGTATATGTATTAAATGTTGTCATGATAACCTTGACAGGCGGATTGACATTCACAGTATCAGAGGTTTTGCACCTATGACGCTGATTTCTGCTTTCAGAGTAGGTATTTTACGTCTTGTGTAAACGACACGGTTATACCACCTCTAATTAAAAGCCTTAAGAACTTTTTCCTATAGCGCTTAGTCGCCCTACACCCACGGGATTAAATGGGTTGAAAGATTCTTTTACGCAGGAAAACACAAGAGCAAATTATGCGCTTTAGTTATTAGAACCACGCATTTTTAAGATTTTTTTTGTAATTTTCAAAATTTTCTTGAGTATCATATTTATTTTTAAAAGATTAGATATATGTGTAGAAAAAGTACAAGTATACGCGTGTGATTCGTTTAGAAAAATAAAAATGGTATAAGTTAAAGTAAATATCTGATATATTATATTCTTTAACATCTCAGACAATATAAATTGTCTTATTATTTTTAAATAAATAATATTAATATTTTTGTACACCTAAAAAACAAATGCAGAACAGCCTCTATCTGACTGTAAAACGGTGTTTACTAAATTAATATAAAAAACAGCCGCGCACGCCATCTGGAGTCGGTACTCGGGGACCGCGTTATATAACTGTTTGTTTTACAAATAAACTATACGAGTCCCCGGCTTTGCTTGATGTTCTCGCACCTGGGTCTTTTGGGCAAGAGGTATTATCGGATATTTTTTTATACTGGATAGTATTCATAAAAACTAACTATATTTTTAAATCGTATTTCAGTAATATATTCTATCAATATTTTTATCTTGAATATTTTGGGTTACTGATTTTATATTATATTAAAAAAATTTAAAATATAATTTAAATTATAACCTATTAATTAGTTAAAAATTAGAAACTCATTAGTAGTGATATTGACAAAGGCACTTACTCGTAAAAGCTTCGACACGACAAAAGAGTAAACGAATTTAGACATCATTCATATATGTCACAGATTATCCAAGTTATCTAACCCCTGTTAAAAATAAATCAACCGGAAAAAGATCGTTGAAAGCTCTATTTTTAAACTAGGGCTACGTAACAATAAAAAACGTAATCTAAGCCTCAAACAGTGTATATATCCATTTTTAAATATGGCAGCCCAGGGTAACCCTTCAGCGGTATGATATACGACCTCAAGGCACGTGTTATACGGCCCAATGAAAAGTTACATTAAACAGGACTTAGCTGTAAAGAAAAAACGTTCTTCTGACATCCCTTTTATACGTTTAAACTATTTATGTTCATGATGGATCGTAAAGATGAAAATATTTCATGCTTGGCTTGGTATTATTAGGCACCGTATAAAACTTAACTGAAAATATAATGCGCAAAGAAATAAATAAAAAAAAACAAATATTGTATCGTCTTTTCTTAATCGCTTTAACTATTGTTCATCGTTTTCTTGAAATTTTGAATGTATTATGCTCCTTTTCTGCCTTGAAAGTACATCTAGTGGTGTATCTGGATACACATAAAAAGTAAAGTAACTACCTGTATATGTCCCACAGCTGGGCAAAGTCCTTCTCATATTTTTTGAAAGGGTTTTAGGGCAAGGTAGTGTCCATCGCGCTGTCCCAAATCGTATTGGCGGACTTCACGTCTTCGAAATATTTTTATTTCTCAGACATGCATGTATCCTTACGATGTTTTCCTTAATTGCCGAGCACGTGCTAAATCAGCACTTATAATTATTTTGAACAATTTCTTGGTACCGGCATGGATCGAACCCTAAGCTATCAGGGCTACGTGCCAAAATATTTTCTCAATCTGAACAAAAGCCATTTTTTGAAGATAATGGTGGATGTGCATATGCTGCCACTACTTTTTACAATACAAAATTTTCTATGCATAGTAAGTATTTTAAGTTATCAATGCATGGTACAAGTAGGAATTTCGATCACTAGCCTAGTCCGCTCTAAGTAAGCTCTTTATAAAATATTCTTGCATCATCCCTTTTGGGAAATATTCCAGCTGAAAATATTTATCGTTGATAATTGCCACGTGATGAGGAAAATGCTGCTTCCCATCTCCTGTTTAGGTTTGTCTCTGTTATATAAATTACAGATGATACGGGGTAGTGGTTGCCCTGCAGTTGCTATGATAGGTAGTGGTATAGAGAAAATAAATCTTGAACTTCTTAAATAATTCTTCACCTTGACAAAACAATAAGGCGAACACTGCTATAAATAAAATATACTGTTACATGTGAGATAGGAAATAAAGTAAATTGATATATTTATGCAAAAAAACATCTGGCACGGTCAATGAGACAGTTATTCTGATTGTCGTATAATTTTTAAGTGCCACAAAATTTGTCTGTAAATATAATCGCTTGCGCTAGCGAAACATCTGCAATAATCCCAAAAATAAACCCTACTTACATATACCCAACATAAAACTCAATACGTAATGAACAAACTTCGTTACAAAGCCGTAACATCTGAAATACAGGGTGCGTGAAAACTCATAAATGTCAAAATGCATTCCCTTTACTGTTCGCTTGAGATAAATAAATTGCTGTTGAAAATTCATTCATTTTAGCGTTAAGGTGTGCGTTTTCGAACACATAAAGGATGAAATGTGACAAAAAACGCTTTTACAGCAGCAAATATACGTTTGCCTTGGTGTAAGATGACCGTTAAACCTTCAGTGGACGAATGAAAGTGTATTTTCTCCTAATTTAAAACCTTAACGCATATCGATTAAGTTACGAATTTGTGATAAAAGCGAAATCATAAAATTGGGACACATTTAAAGAACTCCGATTCAGCGGAACGAATCGTGCTCTGAGGAAATTTTTAATGCAGTTTCTGCATTTCGGTAACATTAGACATAATTTTATCGTTCGCTCCTTGTACCCGATCGGGAGAGTTCGTTGCCACCGTATAAATTTAAACATGGACATAAACAAGCGTATAAAATACCCGGACTTTTTAATTCATCGTTTAACTTTGTGGGTTAATGAAAGGGGATGATTTTATAAATAAACATGGTGTCGCATTCTCTTATCGAATTTCGGGACTGATTAAACGTTTGTAGGTTTATAATCTTTTAAACCAAGCTTAGATATAGCGCCGATCTAGGAAGGTTACTACTGGCAATAACAGAACGAGAGCAGCTGGTGATCGAATAAATTCATAATTCTAAGGAGATTCTCACGATCATCAGCTCTGTCAATCAACACAAGCTATGTCGTCATAACTTGAGCTAGGTTAGCTTCTACCGTATTTGCTGTCTGTATTTATTCTTCTCGTAAAAAAATGCCTTACTCGTCACACCCCACCCGTTATCAGCCTGCTTATTTTACGTTTGACATAAACGATTAATGACTATCGAAAGACTTTTTTGGCATTTCCCATAGTCTCCTTTCACGAATCTCACGGGGCAAATCGGGTTATGGATTTTGGTAGTGAAAAAAAGCATTTACTACCATTATTTTACAGCATTGAGAAACAAAAGAGCACACAGTACACGTCCACCTGATGGTAAGTGGATGCTTTGGCCCATAGACATCCACATTTATCCACAATTAAAAATCAAAATGCAAATGCGTTGTCACCACTAAGAACTAAGATGGAATGCCTCGATTCCAGTCTATAGGGTCTCCGGTTCTCTACACCCACCATACGAAACACAGCAGCATTACACTGCTATTTGACGCTGGTATTCTGTGAGAGTGTGGTCCTACCCCGGTCAAACCAACCCATTTGTGCTATTATCATAATATAGCTGCAGCGTAGCTCTACCACGTAAAAACAGGCCTAATGAGCAACAGGTGTGCCAAGTAAGATGACTAATGCCCCCCCTACGAGGTAATGTTCGTGGAAGGCCTTGTTCAGCAGTATACTTAGAGTAGGATCTAGTGAATCAATTAACGATTAATGGATGACACACACGGTCAGTTCCACTGATCATTTCAACTGATCATTTCGAACTCGGTCTGTTGATATTTTTTTAAATAACGAATTTTTAATATATCAATAACGGAGTTTTATATATAAGTTTATTTATGGATATATCGAGAATCCGATATTTAAAAAATATCAATATTCTTAGTTTGAACTGATCAGTTGGAATGATCACTTGAACCGACCGTGTGTGTCGTCCATAAGATTAACTTTTAATAATTTCATCCTTCTTAAACTTCCACTATCCAATCGTTCAGTCCTAGCTATTAATAAAAATGCCGTTTATTCGTGAAACCACACTAGATGGTTACTTTTCACTTCCATTAAAACCAAAAATAACACAATAAATAATAATAAAAACATTGTTTGTCGCATTGTTTCAGAACCTAATGGATCCCAACAAGACAAGTTGAAATACATCGTGAAATATGAAACGCGCCGCCATTGCGTTTTGGCGCGAAATGCCAATCGCTGTCACGTTCGTGTTCGTGGCATTGGCAAGCGTTGCTTCAGCCAGGGATATTATTTTAGGTAAGTGAAAATTGCAAATACGTATATAATTAGAAAGTAATATACCTAATTATGGCAATACAATTTGTTGTCTTGTGTGGTAGAACTTTTTACATTCAGATGCAGTAGAAGGATCATGGACTGGAACAACACAAACGTCCAAGTATAACACTTTACTAGGTGGTAGGACAAAGGAGTCCTGTTTAATGCTTGTCTAAGTAGGTACCATTTCTGCTGTTGAATACCGTTGTATGCACTACTGCTGTATTCTGGGCTAAGTGACAAAGGGAGACATTCCATATTAGTCCTATGACAACGCATTTATAGCCTTCTTTCTTTGAAGTTTATTGCAGGTGTTCATAGGTTGCAGTATCAAGTAACCATCAGGTGGAGTGTAAGCTGGTGTGTCACTAAGATTTTATAAAAAATATAACAGAACTTAATGATTTCTTATATTTACGCGAACATTGCACATGATTAAAACTACTTTTACGGATTTTATCGCGTTTATTTTTACTTTTTATTTTTAATTCCCGACGTTTCGGGCGCTTTCCAGCACCCATGGTCACGGGGGACTGAGATGACTGACGTCCCGATGTCATTGTTAAACCCGGAGAACCTTCAGCTTTTTTAATTATTGTTTATGGTCCGATCTATGCAAAATGAACTGACTATGTCCTGAGGTCTTGCAGTGGTATGCTTGGGTTTAGTTTTAATTTTATTGATTATAGGATCCCAAGCAGGTGGTAGTACCCAGCCTCCTTCTCTATTGAAATTAGGATGTTTAATTCGATAATACCTTCCTGTGCCAAACCACCGAAGTTGTATGGGTTACCAAAGATACACAAACCGAATGCTCCATTACGTCCAATAGTGAGTCAGATTGATTCGCCAACTTACAGATTGGCTCAATACTTAGCTAAAATATTATCACCACTCAGAGGACACACAAGAGCACACACTAAGGATTCATACCATTTTGTCAGTGAGATAAAAGACCTACATCTTACTGACAATGAAACCATGGTCAGTTTTGATGTTCAGTCTCTATTTACATGCCTACCTGTTGAAGACTGCATCTCAATTATAACTAGGAAACTAGAGGAAAATAACATACCAGCAGAATATGCAGTGTTACTAAGACATTGCCTTACATCTGGCTATCTATTGTGGAAGGAAGAGTTTTAAAAGCAAGTAGATGGTGTGGCGATGGGCTCACCTGTATCTCCCATTGTTGCCGATATATTCATGGAAGACTTTGAGGAGAAAGCCCTCCTTACTGCACCTGTTACACCAAGGATCTACAAGCGGTACGTAGACGATACTTTCACAATTTTACCATCAGACAAAGTAACTGCATTTTTAGAACATCTTAATTCCATAAACGCTAAAATTCAATTTACTATGGAGTTAGAGGCAAATAATTCCTTACCTTTCCTAGATGTGTTAGTCATCCGAAATCCTAATAACACCATTGGTCACACTGTGTATAGGAAAAAGACCCATACAAACCGATATTTAAACGGTGAATCTCACCACCATCCTTCACAGTTAGCTACCGTGGGCAAATCTTTGTTACAGAGAGCACGAGGGATCTGTGACAGCAAACACCTGGCCGCCGAGCTTCAGCACGTCAAGCAAATTCTGCACGACAACAAGCTTCGGGTCCCGCGCCTACGTCACAGTGACCGAGTGAAGCCGGCCACAGTCGAGCGTGTGCCTGCTGTACTGCCATATGTCAGAGGTGTCACAGACAAGATTGGCTATATCTTGAAGCGAGCTTCTATTAGAACATTCTACAAGCCGCCGAAGAAGATTAGTCAGTTCCTACCATCCGTCAAGTCTCATATTCCTCTACAAGATGCAGGAGTGTACAAGCTTGATTGTGAATGTGGTCTCTTTTATATAGGACAAACCAAAAGATCAAATAGGACCCGCGTAAAAGAACATATAGCTGATGTGAAGCATCAACGTTCCGGGAAGTCTGCAGTTTGTGATCATATCCTAGACGGCCCCAACCATTACATCAGATTTGATAGACCACAAATCCTCGCGAAAGAACACCGATTCCTACCAAGGATGATACGTGAGGCTATTGAAATTAAAAAACATCCTAATTTCAATAGAGAAGGAGGCTGAGTACTACCACCTGCTTGGGATCCTATAATCAATAAAATTAAAACTAAACCCAAGCATACCACTGCAAGACCTCAGGACATAGTCAGTTCATTTTGCATAGATCGGACCATAAACAATAATTAAAAAAGCTGAAGGTTCTCCGGGTTTAACAATGACATCGGGACGTCAGTCATCTCAGTCCCCCGTGACCATGGGTGCTGGAAAGCGCCCGAAACGTCGGGAATTAAAAATAAAAAGTAAAAATAAACGCGATAAAATCCGTAAAAGTAGTTTTAATCATAACAGAACTTAACAACATAAAATTTTTATGTGTCGTCTTTCGTACAGTCTATTAGAGAACCAGCAACCGAATACTGGATACTAAGAATCATTGTTTTTACGCGTAACAAACGTCAATATTTTCACAGTTACATAACACATCGAGGGTAGATAACATGTAAATGAAACGCAATCACCGTTTTTATCACTCATAGATGAAATGCTCTTTGTTATTATTCTAGGTTAAAACTAGAGTTGGGCCGATTAGTACTTTAGCCGATTGGCCGATTAGCCGATTAATCGGTTAAGAAATGGCCGATTAATCGGCCCAGCCGATCCCTATCCGATGATAAATTCAAATGGTGGAACAAAAATTCTACCAGATATCCAGAAATGTCCCGTTTAGCGAAAGTTTACCTTTGCTGCTCCGCCAGCTTTGTGTATAGTGAGAGACTTTTTTTCTGAGGCAGGAAATATCTAGTATCTACGCAATAAAAAGAAATCGACTTTAACCAGAAAAGGCTGAGATTTTGGCCTTTTTGCATCACAATTTGCCACTGGTTAAAAATAACAAATAAATTAAATATTATTCTAAAAAGCCACTTTCTTCAATACACTTTCAAATTGAGTATTTCTTTTTAACAAATTATTAGATGATTATAGATTCTTTATTTAATAACATTACAGGAAAAAACAATTTATTGTAATTATAAGTACAAAAACAATAACAATTTAGTTTTAAGCACAAAAGCAAGTATGTTCTATTTGTATTTTAAAAACTATAAAATATATATTAAAAACGATATTTTATAATATCTACATGGGTGTAGTTTTACAATCTTTATTTAAGAATTAAGTATTTTTTTGTTATGTAAAGGGAGGGACTTAAAATTTGTTTTCTTTTAAAGATTATTAAGAATTTTGTTGTGTCACTACTCTGAATTACGATTAGAAAAAGTTAAAAAGTAGAATTAAAATAGTAAGTACTTAGGTTTTTGTTTAGTTTTAAATAGCTACCTCAGATTCTTTTTTTACCAAAGTTCGTATGTCCAGAATAATTAACATTTAAGCATTTGAGACTGATTTTTCAATAAAAGTTATGTATGAACCTACTTATTTTATTATTTATTTGATTTACCTACATATAAATCTGACGAGAGCTTACACATAGGAGAGAAACTATATTTTTCTTAAACTTAAAGCTTTACTCATATCAATGTAGCTACAGTTACCACGCAGAAAATCACGAAAAACCTTTGCTAAAATTAATAAAATAAAAAGCCGCGTATCGCGTTTTATTTATATTAAACCGACTAATCGGTGACTACAAATAGGCCGATTAATCGGCTTCACCGATTAGTCGGCGGTTAATCGACCCAACTCCAGTTAAAACCGTTCGCAACGGAAAGTAACAGTAATTTTGTAATTTTTTGTTTAAACGGCAGAAAAAGTAAGAGACCTTCATGACTTAGATTTATACTGACTACACTTATAGACATTCTTGACATTGACGCACCTACGTTGACGTATACCGAGGTCCCTAGGTAACCTAATATCTAGTACAAGGTTGCTCATTTTTTACACTTACTTAAAAAATGTAAGGAGCCTATAGTTCTGTTGCAAAACGTTGTTTAAGACGTTTGTGAGGTTAACATACACACTAGTGTATGTTAACCTCACAAACGTCTATGCCACACGCTTGCGTCAATCTGCTGTAAAAGACGGACCTGTCGCGAGCACCCCGCACTGTCAACCTTCTAGCAAGAGAAACGAATTTGTTTGTTTGTTCTCTTAATAAATTGAAACGGAATACATTTTTTGTTATATTCCGTTTGTAGATATGGTTTTGAAAGTAAAAGGTTAAAAGCAATTGCCTTAATAACAAATTCTTGTGCGATAAATAGACAATATTATAATAATTATAGTATATATAATAATTGTAAGTTTCGATAAATAAAAAATAAATTTAAATCTATTTCACGCAGTTTTAACTTAAGGAAACGATAATGATGTTCAAGATCACATTTACAAAACTTAAAGGTTCCATAGCCCAAAAAAAAAAGCAAACCTAAACTCAACAATGGCCCAATACGTACCCGAACTGAATTTATATAGGCTTTATTAAATAGGAAATCATTTATTTCGTATTCCTAACATCGTAACAAGTATATATTAACTAAAATCTTCGGTGTGAGGTGGCGAATTTAAATTTTTGGTCGACGCGCAGCTCTGCATGCAAATCAAACGTGTTGAAACCCACATCGATGGTTTGCATCGATATTTTGGCAATCGAAAAGAATATCTTTCGCTCTATTGTTATTCAAAGCAAATAAGTTGAGGCGCCATTATTATATTATAATTCGCAAATTCGATTTTAATCTTTTAATATTTCGAAACAATTGACCCTTCAGGTCTCTTTTATATTGCAGTTGCAAAATACAGCATATTATATCTCATATTAAATTTTATATTGCTTAAAAGTTTTTATATCTGCATCCACCGTATTGATAATCCATGTTTTCAACGTTTATTGAATTTTCTTTCATTCATTCATTACATTTTTTTATTTTTTAATTTTTATTAATTTATTTCAGATAACATATGATCCATATCACTAAAATTGA